CACTAAGAGATTTATCTAAATGGATTAGTATGATTCTGATCAAGATGCATTTATTTAATATACCGAACTTGAGGAAAACTATATTTATTATAATTTAATGCTCAGATATACTCAGATATATACTTCTTATAATATATAAAGGATATATTTACTAATTTTAAATAAAATATAAAATTAAATGTAAAATTTATAAACCGTACCCAACCTTGTTTGCGTGAGGAAAAAAAGAAGACTTTTTTTGTTTTCCTTTGCATAATTGTGAGTATTTCGAGAAATGGAAACCCATCCTAATATAAATTCTATGGTTTGACTATGTCTATTTACTTGGAAAGCTGTAATTTAAACGGTGATATTTAGCGGGATATTTACGCGATAGTTGATCGATTTTGAGCAATAGATAGTCGATCGATTTTTCTAGAAACTTCGACGTATGTTACTTTTAATCTAAATTAAAAATTGTAATAGGTGCTTAAATACATTTGTATGTATAATATACTTTTCCCGATAAGATACGTCTAAGAGAAGGATTTCGACTATGTTTTAACTGACTGGCGTGCTTTTATTTGAAAAACTTGTGTTATTAGATTGAAAATTTAATTTTCAGTACAGCTTTTGGAGTAACAGCTTTTCCTTTTCTATGCCAGGCATGCTAGTAATAAATTGAACATAATTTCAACTTTATGCGGCATTTGCTGAAGCGTATAAATACCAAATTAGCAAATAAATATATTTATATATGTGCGTAAACATACATATATACTGATGCAATGCGAATTTATGGTGAACAGGTAAACAATAAATCACGGGCTCCGCCGGTGGCCGGCAATGCTTCTCCCTTGTCTAATTAGAACTTTTAAGCCACGAAATTCTGAAATGCAGCGATGTGACGCATCGGCGAAGCGGAAATCGAATTAGCGGTTCTTCCACATTCAAATGCATTTGAATGCCATTACATGAGAGAAACACACAGAAAGAGAGAGAGAGAGAGAGAGAGAGAGAGAGAGAGAGAGAGGGAGGGGGGAGGAAGCTGGCTGCGAGCTAGATGAGGAGGGTTTTATTAAATGTTTAGTCCCCCCATAAACAACATAGTTTTAATGGAAGCGAACACAACGCGTAGTTCAAGCCTGGAAAAGGTTACATAAAATGCAAAATATATTGGATGTTAGGGTGTTTTCTAATTAAGCTTGCGGCTGTAGTTAAAATTTGGCCCGCTTTATAATAGAAAATATACTATGTGTACATACATATAAAGTGTATTTAATGTATATATGTATATATATATATATATTTATCGTTATATTTATATTACGTATTATCAGTTTACCTGTAATATGCTTGTTTTGCCGACGCCAGAAGCCCCCAAAAATGCTGCTTTAAGGGGGCCCTGCAGCCATGGGGGCTCTGCACCACCCTCCAGAGTGATACGCTATGCCGAAATGCACTTGTTTTGTATATGTATCTCCATTTCGATTGAGATTTTTGTGGTTTTTGCTGGAGTTGTTGCTGCTGTTGTTGTTGTTGTTGTTGCTGCTGTTTTCCTTTGCTGCGATTTAGGTGTTGTTCCTTTAATGGCTGCTCCTGTTGCTTTATTATTGAATCCTGCTGCTGCTGCTGCTGCTGTTGTTGCTTTTGCTGTTGTTGTTCTCGCACTATCACCGACATAATCAACGCTTCTTGTACTACCGATCAATAGCTTCTTAGAATTTGTTGGTGATATTGTACTACTCCACATTATATTGCTATTGTAATTGCGAATATTGTCGTTATTTCGCTTGAACGACGCCAGCTTGATTTCTTTCTTTGTTACTAATATACTGGTTAATTAAATATATTTTAATTAATTATCGATTTAGTCCAACCGTGGGCCGCTGGACAAAAAGGCATTGCTTCAATATGTATCACCTCCCTGTGATTCCAAATACATTCTGAAATCAAAGTAAATAAATACAGGTAAATAAAATTGAAATATTAAAGTCACTTTCACATATGTATTTAAATTAATTGAATTTATCGGACGTAAAAGCTACCAGCCAGATGACGTGTACCTTGGTTTAATACATTAAATCCACAACAAATTTCACACCTCAGCCAATCGATATTTAGCTCGCAAAGGCATTTATCCTTTAAATGACTATTCAAGTTCAGACGGATTCAAGCACATTCCCGTGCTCCATTCCGTTCTCCATTTTAATTAACAGATAAACAGGCAGCTCTGCCAGTCATGATATCATGCTTAATTGCTCAGGTCCCCGCCCTATTACGAGCTTCTTTTACCTTCTCTGTACCTGTTCTTTCTCCTTGTTGTTGGTTTCAGTTGAATGTATCTTATTAATATTTTCTAATTATTTTATTTGAAACCACTGCACATCCGTTCTATTCTCAGTGAAATAGTACTCTTAATAGTTATATGTATTCGCCAGAAGAAATTATTATCGTTTTTTTCTCGATTTCCACTATTATAATAGACTTTATTTAAACCACTACACTTTTAAGAATAGTAGAGAACTTTTCTAAATCAACTTTTCAAGAGTGAGAGAGCAAGAGCGAGAGAGAGAGAAAGAAAGATGGGGAGAGAGAAAGATATCAGCTATTTTTGTATTCTTACTGACACAACGAAGTCACTAACAATTTGTACAAAACTTTTTAGATAGTTTTGAGTTGCAAGCATGAACTAAACTTTTTATCGTCTTTTGAGTCAGCGGGAGAGCTATTCCAATAATCATTATAATTCGCCATTGCCTTAAAGTCGTTCGTATGTTGTTTAGGCATTTTGCTCGAAGTAGAAAACGTTTGATAAACGTTGAAGTTGTCAGCATAAAAACAAAACATCTCATGAGAGTCACTTGGAAAATGTTATCCAGCCGCTTTGCCAGGCTGTTTGTACATATATTCATGGAGTGAAATTATTATTTTTTGTTCAAGGACTTAAGCCCACGCTCATATCACAAACTCAACGATGCTTGAGCTAATGTCAACAAATAAGAAGTCCCAACTGTTTTTTTTTTTTTTTTTTGTGTACCAGCGGAGCAACGGCCACCCATCTACAGCAGGAGTCCTGGACAAGCGAGCGGTTTGAAATTAGTTTATGCAAAATTCAATCATTTAAATTCAGGCCAGCTGACTCGCTTCCCACACAGTGTGGTGCACGAGCTTATATGTGCACCCGTTCGATTCGCACTGCTTCTGGTGTCTTTTGAATTTGGTACTTGCTTGAGCTGCCAGCAAGGGTCGGGAGTGCTAGACTGTCAGACATCCTGGGCTATCCCTCTTTCATGTGAAAGTCGTTCGAGTTCGCGGGTCGAATTAAAAATCAGGACTGCCTAATAACTACTCTTTCTGTCTCTTCTATTGATATTTTAACACTAGCCTATATTTATACGCTG